CGAGCTATTGTGGCAATTTTTCTCAAGTTTACTTCAAGTTGTCTAGCATAGGTAAACAACAAACATTTAAAGACAATCAGATCTAGAATTTAACATCCACAAAGGTGTGTTATTGGAACATGATTTTTCTCTCTAAAATAACCCTTCTTTCCAAAGATAGCCAAATCAAGACTAATTTGTAAGTCCAATTTTGAAACCTGGAACCATAAAGCCCCTTGGAAATGTTGGTCTGATACCTTGCTTACAGAGTTCCCAGCAGCCTTACCAGGTAAGTAAAAAATGTCACTTCCTGGCAGGTGCAAGAATCTCCAGATAGTTTGGGAACCTCATGAAGAGGAATCCGCCCACATCTACAGGTATTGCAGGCATGTCTGATGGCAAGCACTTGGCTTGGCTTCTGGCCTGGAGAGGCTACTAAAAGTTCAACCTAGAGATTCCTTATAAAAAGTTCCAGCAAGGGCGCCTGGGTGGCTCAGTCATTAAGCGTCTGCCTTCGGCTCAGTTCGTGGTCCCAGGGTCCTGGGATCGAGCCCCACGTCAGGCTCCCTGCTCCACGGGAAGCCTGCTTCTCTCTCTCCCACTTCTCCTGCTTGTGTTCCCTCTCTCATTGTGTCTCCCTTTGCCAAATGAATAAATAAAATCTTAAAAAAAAAAAGTTCCAGCAAAACAGATTCTAAAAGATCTGTATGATCAATCACTATTCTTGCTGAGCTTATATAAATAATTAGGCCAAGTTTGTTAAAATTGGACTTACAAATTAGTCTTGATTTGGCTATCTTTGGAAAGAAGGGTTATTTTAGAGAGAAAAATCATGTTCCAATAACACACCTTTGTGGATGTTAAATTCTAGATCTGATTGTCTTTAAATGTTTGTTGTTTACCTATGCTAGACAACTGGAGGTAAACTTGAGAAAAATTGCCACAATAGCTCGTAGAGACAATCTTCATGCTTGGTTTTTTTTTTAAGATTTTATTTATTTATTTGACAGAGACAGAGATAGCGAGAGCAGGAACACAAGCAGGGGGAGTGGGAGAGGGAGAAACAGGCTTCCCGCCGAGCAGGGAGCCCGATGCAGGACTCGATCCCAGGACCCTGGGATCATGACCTGAGCGGAAGGCAGACGCTTAACGACTGAGCCACCCAGGCGCCGCTTCATGCTTGTTATTCTGTGGGGATAATAACAGGACCCCATGGGCATATGATTATTTAAACAACTGGAAAATGGGATTGATTCCCCAGTGATTATATAACTCAACTAGCACCTTGACCAATTCTATGTGGCTGGGATGATGAAATCGTTCCCTAAAAGCCAGAGCATACCCCACTATGTAGGCTTGTGGAAATAATGGGTGACCCCACTTTGTTTATGATTGGATTGGATGATGCACTTGGGGATGCCCTTATCTCTTGACAAGTCTTCTCCCACTTGCCAATGATTCTTTATAATTAGGATACTGTTAACAATGGACCTCAAACAAAGAGGGCTTCTTGATGGCTTTATCCCTCATAGTCATATTTATCCTAGAAGTCACCTCTATTGAGATACAATTGCAAACAAAGGCTTTAGCCAAGCATACAATAGCCTGCCTGGTAAAAGGCTCCTCAAAGCTCACTATGGGACAGTCCTTGGCTAGAAGGACTTCGCATCAGGTCCAGAATATCTTAGAGACCAAAGGTCACCAATGGATGATGGAGGCCGACTTATTAAATACCAGGCTATGCTTATAGATACGCCTGAAATAATACTTAAAACCTGTCAAACTTTAAACCCAGCTACCCTTATGCCTGGACCTGACCATCGTACTTCTCTATAGAGTATAACTGTTTAGAGGTTATTGATCTTGTTTATTCTAGTCAACCAGATTTAAAAGATTCCCCTATCAAGGGGCACCTGGGTGGCTCAGTCGTTGGGCATCTGCCTTCGGCTTGGGTCATGATCCCAGGGTCCTGGGATCGAGCCCCGCATTGGGCTCCCCGCTCAGCGGGAAACCTGCTTCTTCCTCTCCCACTCCCCCTGCTTGTGTTCCCTCTCTCGCTGTGTCTCTCTCTGTCAAATAAATAAATAAATAAAAGATTCCCCTATCAAAAATGCAGATGACAGTTGGTTTGCTGATGGCAATAGTTTCATGGAAAAAGGAATTAAGAAAAGCTGGGTAAGCTACAGTGCTCACTCATGCTTGCAATTGCCAAAGCCTTAAAAAGTAATACTTGTACTGACTCCAAATATGCCTTCCTAGTCCTACATGCCCACGGAGCGATTTGGAAGGAGAAGGGATTATTATCAAGCCATAACTCCCCAATCAAATATGGGTCTGAAATTAGGACTCTTCTTGAGGCTGTACACCTACCTCAGGAGGTAACTATAATTCACCTCAAAGGACATCAAAGAATATGACCTTAGCATCTAAAGGAAACAATTTGGGAGACTGTGCAGCCAAAGCAGGCAGCACAAAATAAACAAATATAAGTCTTTTACCAGTCTTAACTCCAATAAAGTCCTTAAGCCCAGCCTATTCAGACCAAGAAATGTACAGGACTGGCTTGTTAACAATGAGGGAAAAATCGGGCACCTGGGTGGCTCAGTTGGTTAAGCGACTGCCTTCGGCTCAGGTCATGATCCTGGAGTCCCGGGATCGAGTCCCGCATCGGGCTCCCTGCTCGGCAGGGAGTCTGCTTCTCCCTCTGACCCTCCCCCCTCTCATGCGCTCTCTCTCTCAAATAAATAAATAAAATCTTATAAGTGTTCTTTTTTTTTTTTAAGATTTTATTTATTTATTTGAGAGAGAGAATGAGACAGAGAGAGAGAGCATGAGAGGGGGGAGGGTCAGAGGGAGAAGCAGACTCCCTGCCGAGCAGGGAGCCCGATGCGGGACTCGATCCCGGGACTCCAGGATCATGACCTGAGCCGAAGGCAGTCGCTTAACCAACTGAGCCACCCAGGTGCCCCAATAAATAAAATCTTAAAAAAAAAAAAAAAAAAAAACAATGAGGGAAAAGTCTTTATACCCAAAAATAAGCAAGGGAAGGTAATACAGGGTTTACACCAGGCTCCTGATTTGGGTAAAAAGGCCACGGAGGTGGCAAAAACTTTGCTAAGAGAAACTCTCTGTAGATTTGGATTCCCTTGGTCCCTATAAAGTGACAACGAGCCGTCTTTTATTACACAAATTCAAAAGCTGACCCTCCAAAACTGAATACCCTTGATATCTTGACTGCAGTTACAGGAGGCCCAGAATTAGATGACTGTCTCCTAACGGGACCCAATGGCTATGCGGCTCTAACTTGTTTCCCTGGCTTCCCCCAGGCTGGATAGGCCACTGTACTAGGTTTTGCCTGGATGCACGGATGCATTCTTAAAACCATTACCAACCCAGCCAACCTTCCAAATTTAATGCAACGGTGGACGCGTTCTGTGTTTCATTGGTATGACCATCTAACATTCATTTTTGTTCCCTCTTTGGGACCAGAGGGTGTTGTTTGGCACATGGAAGCTCTTAATAAGTACAAGGTCAAAGCCCTAAATGACACTCAAAATAGCATTTTTCTACTAAATACTGAAGTAAAACAAACGTGTAAGGCAGTTTTACATAATAGCATGGCATTAGATGTTTTAACTGCTATACAAGGTGGAACTTCTGCTATCACAAAAACAGAATGCTGTATATACGTTCCAGATTACCACAAAATATTTCCGGGTTTCTGACATGAATACTCAAATTGGCCCTTTAGACGATCCCTCTCTTTCCTTTAATGATTGGTTAAACTTCTGGACTGGAAGAGGATTTTTGTCAACTATCAAAGGACTGTTATTTGGGCTTTTCTTTTTGTTGTACTTATGTTTTGCTGTTTTCTCCCATGTCTCTCCACTTGGTGCCAACACACCTTCGCTGCCATAACTTCAAGCCAAGAGATGATCCCTTCCACTCAGGGAGATCCACACATGCAGTCTCCCTTGGATTCAGCTGCCTATGCCTTTTGTAACTCCTATATCTATATAAGCCCCAGCTGACCAATGTTGACCCGTAGGCAGGGGCCTCTCTATGCCCCTATTCAGCGGGAAGAAGTTGCAGAAGGTGAGACCTTCCACCTTCAGCAACCTTAAAGATTTAAGGGTCAAAACTGTTCAGGGGGGAATGATGTGGGAAACAAAGGCAGAAGAAAAAACTATTAAATTTCCTTACTACCTACAGCACATTGACAAGTCCTTGAAACAGGCAGAGTGACATTCCTCTAGGGACCCAACTGCCTGGATGTTAATACTTTGCTAAGGGCAAAAGACAATCCTAGCCCGACCCCCCCCGCCCCGGATCCTGTAAGTCTATTTTAACATATAAACATTCCTTTGGAAATGTCCTTTACCTCTAAACCCAAGATACATGTTAGCAATCATCCCCCAAGCATATGGCCCACAGACATACATCGGAAGGGTCTCATGACTAAGGTTTTATTAGACGGTAATAAATGACCTTTCCCCAACAAGAGCTAACCCCCTCAAGGTCCTGGAAACCTTGCTTCCAGAATTCCTTAGAGACTTAGGGATCCCTAACCCCCTCCCAACTTGAAAGTATATAATGGGCCACTCCTCAAGACCCCAGTGGCACCTCTTTCTGCCCACGGGTCCTGTCCCCGTGCTTTAATAAAACCACCTTTTTGCACCAAAGATGTCTCAAGAATTCTTTCTTGGCGGTCCTTCTTTCCTACATCAGTGACCAGGTCGACCAGAATGGACAGCTATGCAGCCCCAGAAGTTGGGCGGCGGGTTTTGGGCGCGAGTGCTCCCAAAGCGGGAGGGGCATCGGGCCATTCCGAGTGCGACGGAGGACCCTGGCGGCCTCCCAGACAAAGGGGGCGGTCAGGAAGGCGGTGGCGGGCGGGCGCCCCTGGGCTGGAGGAGGAGCTGGGACCGAGGGGAGGAGGGGGCGGTGCCCGGGCCCCACAGGCACGTGCCGCGCCCTCCCCGGGACGCGCGCCCACCCACCACTGTCAGTACCAGGCTCACCTGGGCCGCCCGTCACGCCGCAGACGGGGCGGCCTCCCGGAGGGTCGGGGTAGGCCCCAGACCCATAGCCTGGTGACCACCGCAGGAGCGGAGGAGCGTCCGGTGCGTTGAGCGCGGGCAGCCGAGAGAGCACGGGAGGCGGGGTCCCGCCCCTGTCCCTGCCTGGGCGCGGCGCCCCGCCCCCGCCACCTGGGGGAGCCCCGCCCCGTCTCCGCCACCTGGGGGAACCCCGCCTCTGCAGCCGCGGTAAGGACAGGGTCTCCCGGAACCGCAGCCCCCCCATTTCCTCCCGGCCTCACGGCCTCTGGGTCGCCCCTCCACTTCCGGCGCGGGACCCCCGCCCCCGTCCTCGCCCGCCTCACACGCACGCAGTTTAGAGCCTTCCGGGGGCTGAGTCACTCACTGCACCAGAATTCCCGCCGTGACCTCGCGCAGCCTGGGCACAGCTCCGGGTGGTCTCAGGGTCCGCGCCCCCACCCGGCCCCACCCCGCCCGCTCCCTGGCGTCCAATCCGTCGCCGAGTTCCAAGCCACGCCCTGATCCGACTGGTCTCCCACCGCCGGGACCCCCGCCCCGCCTCCGCTTCTCCAGCACCGAGATACCGCGCGCAGCGGCCTCCGGTGCCCCTCGGACCTCTCCGGCCCCAGCTGACCCTGGGGCCGCACTTAAGTTTCTCGAAATCCCGCCCCCGCGCCCTCCGCCCCCGGCAGCGCTGCCCCCTGTCCGGCCCCGGCTTGTGGCGGCCCTGGGCTCCCACGGCCCAGAGCACACAGCCCCATTGTCCCGGTTATCTGCACTTTGTTATATTTGTTTGATTATGCAGGACCGGATCGGGGACGTGGAGCTCCGGGAGGGCCGGGCCGGTGTGACTCAGCCTGGTGCCCAGGCCCAGCCAGTACTGCTTGTAGGTGCTCAAGGATGTGTCGGGATGAAAGGGGGCCTTGGTTCCTCTGGTGGGTAAAACGGAGCCAAAGGATGCTGCCCTCACCTAGCTCTCCCATCACCGTTGCCTGGCAAAGAAAGACACTCGAGGGTATAAAGGACACGGTTTATTCCCAGGCCATCAGACCCCAGGTACCACCAGAATGTTGAGTCTGGGCTGCCCACACCCTCCAAGAGCTGGTTACCTGAGGTCAGCAAAGGAAGCAGGCAGAGGTGGGGGAGTGGCCACCAAAGTAGCAAAAGGCACCCCTGTTCCAGGGGTCAGGGACTAGGGTGGACACCAAGGATCCCATGACTTGTATTGACCCTGAGTACTGACCCTGATTCACCTCTGAACCTGAGTGGCCCTGATGGGCAGTGACCTATGTCTAGTGGGGGGGGGGGGGGATCCTGGTATATTGCTCCAAAAAGGGTTTTAGTCCCCCAGGCCATGTAGTCTTTCCTTACAGGAACTCTCCAGAACCCCCAACACTGAACACCTTCTTAGTCCTTTCCCCTCAGTCAGAATGCTGGGATGGTCAGAGATGGTCCTCGGCTTCCTCGGGTTGGGGGTCTGGGCAGCAGGTGGCCTTGGGCACAGTTTCATGGTGTAGCTTGGAGAGTAGCCGGGCTGTCTCCTGGGTGATCTCAAAATGTTTGGGCAGCGGGGTGCGGCGCAGAGGGCTGCCCTCAGGCGAGGAGGAGGCAGCAGCGGGGCCAGGTCCCCGCCTCCGCAAACTCCCTCGGGTCACTGATGTGACAGGGGTCTCCTCGCTCAATTTGGAAGCTACCTGGGCCAAGCTGGACAGCTGGTGGGTGACAGGCCGCACGCCGCCCCGGGGATATTTCACTGGCTGACGGCTGAAGTGGCCACGGGATTGTGTCCCCAGGAGTGAGTCCTCTGGACCTTGGCTGGACACTGTGGGTTGGCATGGTCAATGCTGAGCACCCCTAAGTCCTCTGGATTATCTCGGGGGAGTCATCTCTCAGCCAAGCCACCCCAGGCAAGGACACCCCTATAACTCCTGGGCTGCTCCCCAACATACTTACCTTCCCCTCCCTCCTCTTTGGTGTCCTCAGCCACTTCTCTCTGGTCACTCTGTGGAGTTGGAATCTGTAGGAACAAATCCAAGACCAAAACCCCAACAATAAAATCCCAGGTCTTTGAGACTCTTGGAGAGCTGAGGGTTTGTTCCTGGACACGTAAAAGGTCTGTCGCAGTTTTGGTATCTGGGGAGACGATGCCCTTTAACAGTATCCTGCTTGTCCCCTTGTATGGAGCAATATTATTAATCGCAAACTGTGGGCTCCATGAAGGAAGGAATGCCCTTGCTCAGCAGAGAGCCAGCCCAGGGAGTGACTTAGCCATGTCCGCATTAAGACCAGGTGAAGTACCTGTCTCCATCCTGCTCTGCAAACTTGCACCTGCTTTTCAATTTATCTGTACATCCTTCAGTTGATCCTTTAGCTAAATGCTAATAGCAGCTGGGGTTCTTTCTACATGTCCTGAGCACTTTCTGAGCCATTCCATGGCTCAGAGACCCAGCGCTCACTGACAGCCCCTTTACCATTTCTGGGCCACTGTGGAGGGGAGGTGCATGCTCTCAGGAATGGTGTGTGTAGCAGGATCTGAGGGAGAGGGAAGCCACCAGGAGGAGTCTCATCTGTAAATGGTTTTCACTAACAGTATCTACCTCTCAGGGCTCTGTTGAAGATGACAGGAAGCCTATAAAGTGCCCATGCATAGTAGATGCACGATGCGTGGCATTCCACAGACCCCTCTTTGGCCTCACTTTCTACCACCTTCTCCTCACTAATTCATTACAGCTCAGGGCTGCACCCTAAACACACCAGGGATGCTCTCACCTCAGGGCCTTTTCACTGGCTGTTCCCTCTGGACAACCCTTCCCCAGATCTCCATCTGGCTCATTCCTCACCCACATCTTTCCAGTCATAGCTCAAATCCACCTTCTCCATGAGACCTGCCACAGCATATTTATTGCTACAGACTGCCCTCCACCTCTCCTTGGTGCCCCCAATGTCCACTACCCTTTCTTCTCCATAGTACTTGTCATCTTGTAATGTCCTATAAACTGATGTTATACCATATTTCTTATTTGTCATTGGTTTCTTTCCCACTAAAATGCAGTCACCAAAAGGATGGGGTCTCTGAATAATTTACTCACTGATGTATTTGTAATGCCTACTACAACAATGCTTGGTACATATAAGTGTTCAATAAATATTGTTGAAGGAATAAATGATCACCTACATTAGTAACTCTGCAGAGCTGTACCCTGTCATTCCTCATTACCTCCGTTATTATTACCCACCACTCCATTCCTCACTTTTAGGGAGAGAGAGAATGAAAGAGAAAAATTTCAAGGCAAAGGAAGGAAGGAAGACAGGAGAGTGAGAGGGTTAAATGGAGAGAAGGCCCTCCCCATGTCTGTGGGCCCAGTGGGTTCCTACCTCAGGAGGCGTGGCCTCAGGATGCTTCTCCAAGGTACCGTGGGGCTCAGGGTCTGGGTCGGAGTCCGAGGCTAGGACTGGGGACAGGGGATCTGGAGCAAGGTAGGAGGGCGGTGGCTGGGGGTTGTTGTTTATGAGGGGCCCAGGGGCTGGACTGGGGTCTTGAGGCGGGGGCTCAGTGGCCACGGGGAGGTCGTCCATCCCAAAGATTTGCTCGTAGTATACAATGAGGAACTCGATGAGCTGGGCCTGGTGCCCAGAGTCTAGTAGGCAGGTGACAGGGCCAGCACCAGCTGCCCCTGGACCGTCCGGTGGCCGCAGCAGCGTTGGCCCAAACACAATGCCCAGGTTGTTGGCAGACATCTTGTTTTCCTCAAACTGTGCAGCCACCCTGGGGATGGTATGAGGAAAAAGATCAGAGCATGGAATGCATGGTCACTGGCCACCAGATAGGAGCTATAGGCCAGGCTCATGGCAACCTGCCCAAGTCACGGGTAAGTGGTCCCAGGCCTTGTTGGAGACCGGCAGCTACATGCCTGGCAATGGAGATCAGGGGTCAGCTCCCAAAGTCTAGAATCATGTATTAAAATTCAGAGCTCAGAAAACACATTCAAGATCAGAAGTCAGTGTCAGGGGTCAGTCCCAGAGGTCAGTAGTCATATGTCCACGGACGGGGCCACAGATCCGTGCCTCAGGTCAGAAGTCACATTTCAAGGTCAGGGACAGTGCACACCTGAACAGATGGGCCACCAGGTGCCGCAGGGTGCTGTAGTTAGAGGCAGGCAGCTGCACCAAGAGGGTCTTCAGCGAGCGGATAACCTCAGGGCTGGGGCTGGGGGTCCCAGGGTCGTGCCCAGGGTCTGCATGCAGGGTCTTAGCCAGAGAGATGAAGGCGTCGTAGAGGTGGAAGGGGACCACGGGGTCAGTGAGCTGGGGGTGGAATGGCGGGAGGGACATTGGTGTGGGTGGGCTGCAGAGGGTCCTCAGCCTGAGCCCGCCCGACCCCTACCCCTGAGCCACTGAGTACCCACCTCCTGGAGGAATCTCTTGAGAACATTCGAGACATCATGAGGTGAGTTTCCTGACATGTCCACCAATGCTCGACCGTTCTCAAAAGCCTGGCACAGCCGCTCCACACGGACCCGGGACCCGCTGACCCGATAAATGCCCTGCGGGGCAGGGGCAGGGAATAGACATCTGGCTCACGAACCTGGCCATCAGGAGGGCCGGGTCACTACTGGGGGTGGTCATGAGTCAAGGCAGCACCTGCACACCCAGGGCACGCTGTTCTATCTCGGCCGTGCACTTGGTTATCACAAAGGGCACCTCCTCCGGGAAGTCCCTGGGCAGCTGCAGGAAGTCGACCCCAAAGAGGGACGTCCGGGCTGGGAGCCGCCTGTGTCCACAGAGGATCAGTAGAGTCTCCAGGCAGCGCTTGTGACAGGTCAGAAAGCACTGAGGGGGAGGTCATAGGGTCAGGGAGGTCATCAGGGGTCAGTGGGGGAAGAGAGGTCAGAGGGATCCTCAGGGGACAGGGGACTCATAGGACATCATTAAATCAGGGCATGTCCCAAGGGCAGAAAGGTCATAGAGATTTCAGGTCGGGGAGGTGCCTGGGGTCAGGGAGGTCACTGGGGTCACAGAGGTCATTGGTTGACGGGCCCAGGCCACACCTCCTCGCACTCGGTCCCGCTGACCATGAAGGCTTCACACTCGCGGCACTTGGCTGGGCCCCGAAGCCGCCGCAGCCGGTGGGTCTGGGCCGCGCTGGACAGCGTCCACTTCCTGAAGGGGCTTCCTAGACCATTCTCCAGCCCATCTACCAGGTCTGTGGGGACACAGGGTCAAGGGTGCCTGGTCCACCCCCCACCCCACCCCACCTGCTTCCAGCCTCACCAGGGTCTCGCTCCTCAAAGTCATCTGAGGATTCGGTGCCTGTGGATGAGACCTTCACCAACCGCCTTGTGCCAGAGCCTAGAGGCAGAAGGTCACAGAGGTTGGGGGTCACAGGGGTCACGGGGAAGCTCCAGGGCTAAGGAGATATTCCTGGTTTTCAGGCTTTCCAGAACCACCCACAGATGCCCTTGGGAAAAGGGTTAGAGGTCAGGAGGGAAGTCAGGTCAGAGATTGGGGGTTGGAGAATAGGGTCAGCAATCTGGGCAGTGGTTCAGAAATTGGCTCAAGAGAATGGATCAGAGGACGAGGAAAATAGGTCAGGGGTGCAGGTAGATCAGAGGTCAAATGATAGGTTAGAGATGGAGGGTCAGAGCCTGGCCAGTGTCTAGAGGAGACTTATAGGTAGGGAATGGGTTAGGGCCGGGTCCTGGCCCCACCTGGGCTGGAAGTGGGAGAGTCCAGGGACCGAGACTCGCTGCCACCGCCCACACTGTCCATGTCGCTGCCTGGAGTCAGGCCTGGAGTTCCTAGGAGGGAACAGGTCAATTAGGACTGACCCAAGCCCCGGCACCACTCCCGCTGCCCCCTCACTTCACTCACCCTGCCAGCCTGCCTCGGCCCAAGGGCCTGCCTCCGCTGCACTTTCATCCAGCCGAGGGGGTGGGGGGCAGGAGAGCTTCTTTCTTGAGTCCAGGGGAGAGCTGAAAGGAGTGGTTTGAGGGCTCTGACATCACCTATGCATTGCATCTAGGAGGACCCAACTCCAAGCACACCAGTGAGCACCCAGTAGTGCAGTAACCCTAAAGTCTGGACTCTCCCAGAACTGGAATACCCACCCCCACAAGAGCCTTGCGGACTAAATCCAAGAACTGAGGCTTTGAGTTTTCTGACCCCCAAGTACTCAGCGTGGTGGTGCCAACAGCCTGCAACTGTCTCTGGGGCTCATTTCTGACCCCGCTGCTGGGGGGAGGCCCACCTGTGCGCAGTGGGCAGGAACTCCTGGAAGGAGAAGGCAGGCGGAGCGGGTGGTGGGGCCTCGGGCTGCAGCACCCTCACGAACTCCTGGTAGCGCTGGCCGGGCTCGAAGGGCTCACAGCACTCCGCCAGGGCGGCGAAGGCGCGGGGGCCACGCTCGGCCTGCGCCCCTCGAAGCCCAAACAGTCCCAGGGTCACCTGCGGCGGGGGTGGGGAGCGCAAACTGCAGTGAGAGAGGGGCGGAGCCTGACCTTTAGAGACACCAGTGCGGCCAGGGTTTGGGGGCGGGGCGAGCAATGAGAAGCAGCTGGGCGGCGTGGTCAGAGCCTGGCTTGGAGGGGTGGGGGTGGGGGAGACAGGACCCCATGGGGGTGGCGCCGAGGCTGAGGTGTGGTCAGGGACTGAGGGTGGAAACTGGCTGTCTAGGGAGAAGGAGTCCTAAGCTCTGGGGACGGGTTAGGGGCACAGGGCCCTCAGCTGGGGCCAAAGGAGAATATGGGGCGGCAGTGGGAAAGGGTCTCACCCGCCTCAGCACTTCGTCCCCCTGCAGCACCAGCTTGCGCACATGCGACACGATCCGCTGCTTGGCGGCCTCCAGGTCTTGCTGCCGCACGTTGGCGTCGCGGACGCAGGTCTGGTACAGCGCCATGGCCTCCTGCACCTGGAGAAACCAGGGCCCGGGCACATGTGGGACAGTGTGGGGCGGGGTGCACCGAAGCGCTGGGGGGGCTCCGGGCCGGGTCCCCACCTTGGCCTGGGCCTCCTCTCGAGATCGCCGCCGCCGCTCCTGCTGTTTGCTGGGCCCCGGCGAGGCCTGGGGTGCCGGGTCCTCGGGAGACGCCTGGGAGCGAACCCACAGGTCCTCGCTGCGCTGTACATACTGGAGCTGGGCCCTCCGCAGAGCCTGCACTGCGTCATTCTGGGGCCGTGGGAAGTGGGGGCAGGGACAGAAGGGGACAGATCAGAGCCTCTTCCTCTGCTCCGCCAGCTCAGCAGGTGCGCACCTACCCACCGTGCCGGGACTCACCATCCGCTTCTGCTCTTTCAACCACTGCTCCTTAAACTCCTTCCGCCACTTCTCAATCTCATTTCGTTTGGCTGCCAGGGGCTGGCAAGGAGGACAGATGGGGGTGTTGCCTTAGGGCCACCCGGTCTTTCCGCTCCCCGCTACCATGTGCCTTTCATCCTCTGGACCCTCTCCCGGGTGTGCACTCTCACCCACCCACCGGCTCTCCACCTCATCCTTTCTAAAGCCTGGACCCAGAGATGCCAAAGCTCTCTTCCTGGGAACACTCAGCGCCTTGCCCCCGCTCAAGTCCTGCAAACAAACAGAAGCAGTTTTGCACTTGCACAGGAAGCCTGGTTTGAATCTCTGCTGGGTAACCCTGGGCAAGCTCCTCAGCATCCCTTTGCCTCAGCTTCCTCATCAGCAAAATGGCACTGATGGTAAGTGCCTTCTCCTGGGGAGGTGTGAATGGAATAGTGCATGCAGCAGGGCCCCCTCACCTGGTAGTAATCTCTTTTCTGCTGGGCCACTGTTTCCATGGCCAGGGTTCCCAGGCTGAGGTCGTGTTCCAGAAACAGGGTGTAGATGTATTGCAGTGGCATGTGGTTCTGGGGGGGGTGGGGGGAGGGAGGGTTGGTGTTGGAGGATGCTGAGGATCTAGGGGGTCAGGGCTGAGGTTCTGGAGGGGTCTGGTCATGGCTACCTGCTGGTGGATTGACACCTTGCCAGCCTCGGCGATCTTCATGATGCTTTTGGCAAATTCTAGCTCTGGGGGGAGATAGCAGGGGTCTGAGTTGGGCAGGGTGTGGGCACTGCCTGGGGCCTGGGGCCGGGCAGAAGGGGCCCTCACCAAGGCTGGCTCTCTTCTCCGTCCAGGCCAGCAGCTCCTTGGCATAGCGGCTCCAGGTCTTGGCATAATCCAGAGCTGCGTCCACGCCCCCCGTGGTCCGAATGAGCCTCAAGTCCAGTTCTTCCCCTGGGGCAGGAGGGTGGACCTCTGACTTCTGAACTCTGACCTTCTGTGGCAGCTTTCCCTGAGCCCCAAGACCGACCAGACCAGTGATCCCTATTCTACACTCTATGGCTCCCCCAAATACCCCTTTATGATCTTGTCCAGGTTGCAATTTTATTTTATTTTATTTTAAAGATTTTTTATTTATTTATCTGAGAGAGAGAATGAGAGACAGCGAGCACGAGAGGGAAGAGGGCAGAGGGAGAAGCAGACCCCCAGCAGAGCAGGGAGCCCGATGCGGGACTCGATCCCGGGACTCCAGGATCATGACCCGAGCCGAAGGCAGTCGCTCAACCAACTGAGCCACCCAGGCGCCCCCAGGTTGCAATTTTATACTGATTCTCCACCCAGACTGAGGGCTCCCTGAGGGCAGGGGCTCAGCTCTTTCGTGTGTACTGTCGTGTCCCTGCTGGTGTGCGGAACAGGCAGAGGGTGATGACTAACTGAAGAAGGACTCCTTTCTGCCCCCACTCCCCCGAATCCCTCCTCAAAGCCGCCTACCTGTAAGGGGCGCAGGACCCTCCAGGGAGGGGCCACTCCAACGTCTGGTTTCCCTGGTCTGAGGGGGAGGGAGACAGCATTCAGGAGCAATCAGAGCAGGGGCTTCAACCCCCTAGAGCCCCTCCCCCTGGAGATGCCCTCCTCCCGCCCTCCTTCGTCCCGCCCTTCACCTCAGTGGCTGTGGAGGTCTTGTCAGACTCTGGGTCTCCTGAGAGCACGGGGTCTCCAGGCAGCATCTCAAGGGTCCTGGGAGGTAATGGTGTCAGGATGCCACCCTCCACCCAGTCTGTCTTGCTTAGGGGTGTTGGGGGCCCCCAGGGCAGTGTGAGTGATGGTCCTGGATATCACCTCTGTGACATCTCTTGTATCTGGGAGGTCTGAGTGGTTTGGGGGGCAGGGGGAGGACCAGGTGCAGTTCGTTTTTTTTTAATGGAACTTGAGAGAGTTTGAAAGGTCCCAGGTGAATCTGGGGTTCACAGAGTGGGATTATAAGGATCTCAAATGTTTAAGGAGTCACAAGGATATATGGGGGTACTAGGACCATTTTAGGGATTTCCAGTGGTTTTGGGGGGCTGAATTTTGGGATTTTTCAGGTGTTTTGGAAGGACCCATCTTAGATTCTCCGGTTATTAGGTAAGTGGACCCAGATGTTATAGGTTCCTAATGAGGCACCTAAATGGTTAGGGATTTGGGGGTGGCCCAGGCTCAGACTCACACGTTCCCCAGGGAGATCTCGAGGTTGTCCAGGCTCCGGAAGATGTCACTGTACCTCTTCCTGCTCTCTGGAGCCAGGGGTAGCCCTGGGGGAGGGGAGTGTCATACATGGGCCAATCAAAGCCTCCCTCCACCCACCGAGGCACCGACACCTAGGCCCTTAGCCAGTTGTTTGGAGGTTGGGGAGAAAGAGACAGAGAGTGTTCTGGACCTGTACAGAGTGTGGGAGGGGGGCGGGTGTCAGAGTTAGGACTGAGGCAGTGTGGCCTGGGGGTGAAGCCACTCAGGGCAGGCAGATGGACTCAGGCACAACCCAACACAGAGACAGCTGCTTAGAGGAACAGAGACACCCACACACACATGGGCCCAGAAGCAAAGCGACAAAACATGCCCCAGATGCAGCCACACTGTCCCTGGGGAGAGAGCCAGCTTGACAATGGAACCACATGGACCTCAGGCCAGACAGATGGAAATACACGTGGGAGAGACCGGCACAGAGCCTGTGGCACAAACACATAGGGGCAGACTGAAACCAGAGGAACATAAAGGCCGAATGACACTCGACATACACAGCAGAGACACAAAGACAGCCGGAAATACAAGTCAGACCTTGCCACATTTCTGCCACAGCCCCCCTTCTAAGGAGCCCAGATCAGCAATGCCCCCTCCCCTGACTATGGAGGAGCCGAGTGGGGAGTCTGCCGTGTTGCCTTCTCCATCAGCGGTCATGACACCCTGCCCCCATCACAAATATCAGAAGCAGAAGCGGCCACTTCCCCTTCCTGGGCCCCCTCCCCCAGGCATCCGGGGTGAAGACTCCAAAGGGGGAGGGGGCGAGGGAATGATGTTCTGGGCCCCTCTCGGCTTGGGGGTCCTCACAGTGGAGGATGCCCGCGTCCCTCCCATTCGAGACTCCTTTCCCCGCTCTCTGAACGGAAAGGGACAGGCGAGACCACTCAATTTAGGAAGTGGGGTACGGTTGGGGGAGGTCCCTCTCGGATCCCATTTCCCGGACCGCCTACCCGGCTCTGCTGCGTCCATGGCCCGGTCCGAGGATCTCTCGGCGGGGACCGGGACTGGGACGGGATCTCGCGCTGGCGGGGCCTTGCCCCGATTTCCTGCCGCGGCCGCCGCCGCCCGGGTTCCGCGTAGCCCCGCCCAGCGCAGGCTACGCCCCGCGACCAAACACGCCCCTGCTCAGCAGAGGCCCCGCCCCCGGCCACACCTCGGCCGGTTGGCCACGCCCCGAGGCTCTACGCGCCCTGACCGAGACTCGGGAGATGCTGTGGGTCCAGGGATTCTGGTGCGACCATCCCAGACCTGGACACCTCATGGCTCCATGCCAGCCAGGGTTCTCCTCGCCAGATCTTTGCGCGGCTCCAGAGCCCCAGCACACTCACTCTCCAGGGCGCCTGTCCCTGAATCTTCTACACTCCGCGACGCAGCGACTTCCCTGCCCAGGGGCCTCTTGGACCCCTGAACCCATACAGGCTCCACTGGATCCATGGTGCCCCCCCTGGTGGAGAGGCCTGATGGCAGGCCTTACTCCAGTGGGATCTTAAGTTCCCCCAATGCTCTAGGGCTGGAGACCCCTGGTCTGGGGCAGCCCCAGTGACCTTGGAAGCTGGATCAGACTCTTGAAGCCCTCATTAGAGTACAGCCACAAGTGCCCCTAGCACCTCTCTCAAGCAGGGGATCACAGATCTCTGCCCTGAGCACCCCAAGTATCATTCCCAGGAAACAAATCCCAAGTCCAGAGTTCTTGCCTCCCGGTTGCCTCAAACGGTCTCAGGGATTCCAAGTGATCACAACAGCCCCTCTGCCCGGTGGGTTCTGGCACCCCTACACTTCCATACACCTTAGTCTGTGCTCAGGGCCCATGTGACACTCACAGGCATTCACAGATGGTCCCTGCCCTTTCCCTGCTTTGGAACCCAGGGCTTTCCTTGGGCTGTGGTCCACACTCCTCCTGATGGGGAAGCTGGACACGGACAGACTGCTGAGGATGACCAAGGCGTGAAGATGGGAAAGGGTGGTGAGCCCCTCACGGATCAGCAGGGAGGCAGAGGTTGTCTTGTAGGCTGGGCCTGGGTACCAGGCCTGAGATTTTCACATGCAGCTTGTCAAAGTTATAAAAATGCACCCATACCCCTAGTGGAATTTCTAGTTTGAAAGAGATTTACAGGGCGCCTGGTTAATCAGTCAGTTACGCATCTGCCTTCAGCTCAAGTCATGATCCCAGGGTCCTGGGATCAAGCCCCACATCAGGTTCCCTGTAGGGAGCCTGTTTCTCCCTCTCCCATCCATACCCCTACCCATGCTCTCTCTAAATAAATAAAAACAAGTTTATAACTTTGCTTTCTAAAGTTCTTAGTTGTTGAGAAGGCAGGAAAATCTCCCATGGCCATGACTCTGCTCTCATGCAGCCTACTCCACAAACTCCTCAGTTGCAAGGAGTATGCGACCTCTGAAAGGAAGGACGGTGTCAGCACAAGGGCGGAGCCAGGTTGCAAAGCTGGGCTGACAGGAGATGATGAATGGCACAGGGTCCCCTCAAGTGTGACCCCAGTTAACATCTGCAACGACCTGGATTGAACTTCCTCACATCTAACACACCACGAGAGGAAGGAGTGCTGTTATTTCACATATTACTGAACAGAAGAAAATGCCATTGATCCTAAAACCTTCCCCCCTGCCTAAGAGACGAGAACATCAATCTGAGAGACCACAGAAATAGGGAGGTGCTTGTCAAATTATGAAATGTGCACAAGTCTCTGGGGCTGGAGCTCAGCCCATCTAAGAGCTGAATATCTGGGTCCCAGGGGCTGTTGTTAATAACCTCACGGCTCCTGGGGAGGGTGCCAGGACCCTGCTTGGTGACCGCACAGCCCCATCGTGACCCGTTCAGTGGTGCAGACAGAGGTGGAGGCAGGGCTTCTTAAAACGGTGGATGCGGCTTTATTTACCAAAGGGGCCGGCCCAGGGCTGGTTCTGCCAGCCAGGCCCTCAGGTGGCTCTGGGGTGGTCCCAGCTCAGCTCAGTCCTGGCGGCAAGGCCGGGCCTGCCTCGCCACGGGAGCAGTGTTCCCTCTTGGGGCTCCTGCCCAGTGGCACCGACATGGGTAGCAAGTGCCGGCACTGCCATCTCAGGAAGGCACTTTCAGCTTCGGGGTCCCCAGGAAGAACTGCAGGACACGGTCGGCCAGGAGCGCCAGGCAGAAGTCCAGGAGCAGGACCTGGGCGATGACGAGCTTGAACTGCGGGGCAAGGAGCACTGGTGAGCTGGGTGCCTGCAGATGGGCCCAGGCTGAGTCCTGGGGCCACACCCACGGGGCCACTCACCTCCACGGGGATGTCCACGAGGCCAAACTGACTGTTGAAGTCAGGCGAGGAGCCAAGGAGCAGGCCCACGATGGCCAAGAGCGACACGGCCAGGCTCCACACTAGGGGCCTGTTCTCTGGCAGGCTCTCCATGAACGGTGGGCCCTGTGGGGACAGATGGATGGACAGTCATGTGTTGCAGGGGCCAAGAAAGTGGGCAGGGTGAACTCAGGTCAGGTAAGGGCTGGGCCTCACTTTGTAGTTGATGGCAAAGGTGGCCATCTGCATGGCCATAGCCATGATGTACACGGTGCTGTTGACCAGGCTCGGCTCAAACTCCTTGTACAGGTCCACAAACTGCTCCTGCCTGCAGCGACACACAGGGGACAGGGCTACTCTCTGACCCCCACCATCCCTGCACAAAGCCAGGGTTCTGCCTGGCCGACCCCACCAGTCAGGCCTTGGTTACCCCAGGGCACTGTCTGCATGTGCATCCTCCTGCACCCTCACCGCAGGGACATTGCCTCCCCTAGGAGCGCTCTGCCCCTCCCCAAGCCCCCGGCTGGGCCAGCACTCACTTCTCGGGGCTCCGGGCCTGGGCCTCTCTGTATAGGTAGACAAGACTCAGGAAGTGCACACAGAACTGGAGCACGACCGTGAGGACAGTGTACAGGTTGAAGATGTTGGGCAGGGGTCGCTCTCGGGAGAGAGTCTTGAGGGGCTGTAGTGGCAGGATAGGGAGTAAGGGTCCAGGCTCAACCTGGGCCTACCCCCCACCCCCCTGGCGCCCCCCTCCCCCGCCCTCCTAGCAGGACTCGTGTAGAGAGCAGTCACCAAATCCTGGAGGTTATGAGTCAGCACCAGACCCCAGAGCCCTGCTCGTTCCCCAGCCCCTTAGCCGAGATGATGCCACCACACCCTCACTCAAGGCCTGCACTCCACATAGCAGCCACAGGGTGTTTAAAATCCACCCCCTTCCCCTTGTTCTAGAACAAACCAAAGCCCTCCCTGGGACCCAGCGGGTGCTCATGGTTGACACAACGCACCTCCCACCTCCTCCAGCTACCAGGTGCTCCTTGCATCAGTCCATGTCTATCTATGGCCCTTCTGGCTACCTCCTGGAAGGTTCCCTTATTCCTTATGCATCACACAGGCTCCCCTGAACGATCCCGAGGCTGTCCCCTGTAGCCTGTGACCCACTTTGTATTTTTCATGACACTGAACACTTTCTGAGTGGTCTTGGTAATCATTTCCCCATCTGTCCTCTCTTTGCCTGTGAGCTCTGTGTAGCCCACCTGAGACCCCAGCTGGTGGATAGTGCTGGGGCCCGAGTTGTGCCACTCCAGGGAGCCTCAGCGTGCACCTGCTCTGTCCCCTGATCCCCATCTGTAACATGGGGATGACAGTTCCCACCCCGAGGGCTGCTGTGAAGACGAATGGATGACAAGCGGTGGTGCCTTTAACAGTCCACCCTAGCTGGCCCAGAGGCAGACGGTACTCCTGGGCTGGGGAGGGAGCCCCTGCTTTGCCTGTGGCTCAGCCCACCTTGGAGCGGGAGATGAAGAGGAAGCAGCCGGCCAGCAGCAGCCCCTGCAGCGTGGCCTGGAAGTCACTGAACTTGACGCCCTCCAGGTAGAGAACACTCTGGCTATAGGCCAGGATGAGGGCATTGAGTGCCAGGATCTTGAACATCTGCAGCGTGGTCACCAGTGTGCAGCGGCCCTGCTTGATCACGTGGCAGACTGTGGGGGGGCCATGAGAGGGGAGGAAGGTGTGGATGTGGGGGCCCATCAGGATGGGCATGGGGGGAGGGGCTGGGGGTGGGACTCACTGCACTGGATGGAGGAGAGCTTGGAGGTGAAAGGGGCAGCGATGCTGGCGTCCCCCAGCTTCACGATGGGCGTGCTCTCATCCTCGAGTTCCCGCAGCACCTGGCTCAGGCGGTCCTGTGGGGCAGGCGGCAGGGATAAGACCTGGCCACCAACGGGTGCTGGTGTCCCCCACCTCCTGTGACTCACCCGCTGGGAGGCCAGCTGCTCCTCGGAGGGCGGGAGCCCCGACCTCTGCTTGGCCGCCCTGGAGGTGGCCCGGACGCCGCTGCTGCTCAGGACAGGGCTGTCTCGGGGCCGTCGGCGCCGTTCAACAACTCGCTCAGGGGCATTGGCCAGGAGTGCCACACCTGGGGGGAGGTACATGAGTGTGTGTCTGGAGCTAGAGGGAGCCTGTCACCCCAGGCCTACTGGCCCTGTGCTGAGTGAAGCCCAGAGCGGAGCATGGAGTGGGGTGTCTGCTCACAGGAGCCAAACCTCCCCATCTCAGCTCATCTCCCCCCGGAGTGCCTCAGAGAGCATTCTATCTTACTTTCTACATGTGGAAAGCAAAACCCAAATACACGGAACTATTTCCAGGGTTGCCTGGGTGGCTCAGTCATTAAGCGTCTGCCTTCAGCTCAGGTCATGATCTCAGGGTCCTGGGATGGAGTCCCGCATCGGGCTCTCTGCTCAGTGGGGAGCCTGCTTCTCCATCGCCTTCTGCCCCTCCCCCTGCTTGTGCTCTCTCTCTCTCTCTCAGATAAACAAAAAAATCTTAAAAAAAAAGAAGCTGATTTCCATGGTGTATTGCCAAGGATCACAATTCTAGGACATAATAGTCAATTAATAAAGCAGTTAAGGATTTGGAAGGCGCTGTAAGTGGGTCAGGTTTCTTTTTTTTTTTTTTTTAGAGGGGAAGAGTGAGTGTGTATGAGTGCCCTGAAGAGCATGCATGTGAACAGCGGTGGGCGTGGGGGTGTGGGGAAGGGAGGGGTAGAGGGAGAATCTCAAGCAAGCTCTATGCCAAGCCAGAGCCTGACATAGGGGCTTAATCTCACAATCCTGAGATCATGACCTGAGCCACAATCAAGAGTCAGATGCTTAACAGACTGAGCCACCCAGGTCCCCTGTCAGGTTGGTCTTTTAACATCAACCTGATGACTGCATTCTGTTGACAGAAATCCAAGGCTATAAACGGCTGGCAAATGCCTCAGCTTCCATTTGTACATCCCCACTTGTCCCATCTCTCCCTGGCCTCTGGCCTCAGCCCCCACATGGTCCCCACACGGTGCCGGGAGGCCTGAACAAACCAAGCTGTGTCTGCCACCTGGAGCCTCCCTGGCTCCCTATGCTCCCAGAAGCTCTGGTGCCCCCCACCCCCACCCCCGCACCCGTGTCCCCTCCAGGCCTGCGGCTCCTCAGATCCCCAATCCCACTGGCGCCTGCCCCATCCCCTCGCTGCCTCCTCAAAGGACTCGCTCAGTGACGTGTCTCTGACACTAAACCCGTGCTGGCAGAACAGCGATGGAAGGGACAGTCCATCAGCTCGCAGGACTCACCCACGTCGGCATGCTTCAGGGCACCCACGTCATTGGTGCCGTCGCCACACATGAGGGTCACGTAGCCCAGCTCCTTCAGGCTGGTGATGACAAACTCCTATGTGCACAGAGATGGGCTGAGTGAGGGCTGTGTGCTGCCCCCAGGCCCTGCCTGCCCCCTGCCTCCTCTGCACACACCTTCTGTTTGGGGGCCACACGGGCGAACACCTGCACGTGCGGGATGAGGCGAAGCAGCTGCTGGGGGTCCTCAGCCTGCAAGTGGGCCAGGCCATCACCCGTGAGGCACAGGGCATGCTCCAGGGCCAGCGCCTTCGGGGAGCCCTTGGCCAGGGGCAGCACGACACTGCCATCAATGGAGCGCCACTCGCAGGGTCGACCTGCAGAGCCGGAGCCCAGGGTCAGGGAGAGGGGTTCAGCAACTCCCCCTCACGTGGACCCCATATAAGCGGTCCCAGTCTCATCTCTCTGAAGCACCTTCTTGGTTCTCACCCCTCTTTATCCCTACCAATCCCTGCCCACACCTGCACCCTAGACGCCAGGAACCCCACAGATGTTCACAGAACCCTCCGATACAAAGGATTCAAGAACCCAGAGCCTAGGCCACTGGCCTGAGACCACATGACGCTCAGATTCAAACCCTGACAGCCTAACCCCAGGAGCAAGGCACCCCTTACCCTGGGGCCTGCCTGAAACCCTGCTCTTCCAGGATCAGGGCCCCCTGAGTCACTTCCTTGGGCCAGACCCTGCTTGCCAACCATTTCCTCTTTCTAGATGGCTGGCCCAGGCATCTAGTGATAAACATGGCTAAGGGAGGCCTTCCGGCACTGCACGGCTCATCTGGGCTTCCTGGCTAGGAGGGAAACCAACCTCCACCTGGCTTTTACTGTGGCCGTTTTGTTAGAGCAGCATCACCTGCCAATCAACAGTCCCAACAGCCACCTCTGGGCCACCTGCCTACGATCCCTGGGCTCTGCAAGAGCCTAGTGCCTAGAGCTGAGACAGAGATCTGGGACGAACAGTGCAGACTAGAAGAGCTGGGAAATTCTAGAATCCAGCAGAGTTCCTAAGCCAGCACCCTCCTCTGACCTGCAGCCTGGTGACACTCCAGCGCATGTGGCTCCCCAGCCAGGCACCATCCCTTGGCGTCTGAAAGACCCCATACTCCACCAGTTGGAGGTGAGGGGCTGGATTTGCTCCTCAGTTGGTTCTACTCAGGGGCACCGGTTACTCAGGAGTGGCCAGAGGCCATGAGCTCTGGAGTCAGAACATCTGGGTTCAAATCCTTAGTCACAGTGTCACTTGAGTGACTGAAGTAGGTGAGTTTACTTCTATTTCCTTGTCTATAAAGTGGGGGGCCCAACAGCAGACCTGTTCAGTTTCCTCCTATGTGGTGCGGGGATGATAAGGCATCCCATATGCGGCAGACAGACTAACCTGGTAACACATACCAAGCCCTTTGCCTGGGGTCTGGCCATGCTGAGCATGAGCACCAGCATCCCTGTGCTTAGGAGGGGAGCCCTCGCCTCACACAGGCAGCCTGCCAGACCCAAGGCAGGCGGGAGGATAGGAAACACGGCCCGGTCTGACGACAACCAACCACCCCAGTTGTCAGTCGTCACTGATCCCAGAGCCAGTGACTTCCCGCATGCTGCTGGGACACGCGGGTGTGGAGCTCCTTGGCCAGAGGGCCTGAGCATGCCGACGAGGCAAGGCCGTGTTCCACAGGCTGGTGTCACAGGTCCTGGATGACACTGGGTGTGTTCGCTCAGGCCTGAAATGCCAGCGGGCCACTAGACGGGCTGTTCTTGCATTCAGGGTCCCCCCAGCCTATGGCCCCATGGTCCCTCACCTTTCTGCACGGGAGGCTGCAGGATCAGCGTTTGTGCCTTTTCAATGAAGTGCAGCTCCTGAGCCACGTGGCAGGCAGTGAGCGGGTTGTCACCTGTGATCATGACCACCTGAGGAGAGGACAGAGGCTCCATGGGGCAGGGCCCAGCAGGTCAGAACTCCAGCCTGGAGACCTGGCGGCCGAGGCCCCTCTAAAGAAGGCCACAGAAGGAGGCGTTGGCCCCAATGCAGAATGGGCTTCCAGGAGCCACAGTCCACCCCAACCTGGTGGTTTATGCAAACGATACATGTATGTGTGTCTGAAAACACCCACAGCCTTTATCCACAATATAGACTAAGAACCAGCCATTAGCGTGGACCCTCTTGGCTTGGTAGCTGCCCCAGGCAGAGGGGCACAGATGCTCCAGCTTTCTCACTGAGGGCCCGGTGATGGGAAGATGGGCTGTGATGGCTGAGGGCCAGGTGGGGGCTATTAATGTCACCACCTCTGAGACTGCTCACTCACCTCCCACATCCTAAACTGCATCTTGAATCCCAAACTAGAAAACAGAAACCACAGGACAGATGGATGTGTCCAAGAGTCATCTCCACATCTCCTGTCCCAGCCCAGCTCTTCCTTTCCAGGATGGGGTGGATTGGGGGAATTGCCCTCACCTCCCAGGGATGCTGGGGGCCAAGGAAGCAACCTGAGAAGGGTGGGCACAGGCCAGGTCCCAAAGCATCCTCAGACTCGGGACAACGTAAGCACCAGAGCCACGATGAAGCTCGGCCAAAATCCAAGAAAGACATCCTTGCTACTGAGACCTGCACCACTGAGGGGGATCTGTCCTCTGTGGTCATATCACCCTCCCTGGAAGAAGGAGCCAAGATCCACCCACCTGCCCACCCACCCTTGGGGCCCAGTGGGGAGGGGTCCAGAAGCTGTACCCGGTGGGATGCATTTTGGATCTCGCGGATCACGGCCTTAGAGTCAGCCTTGAGAGGGCAGGAGACCACAATGAAGCCGACGAACTTGAGGTTGCACTCCAGGGCCTCCCGTTTGATCTCCCGGGCCTGTGTAGGGACATAGGAGTACCCGCATGACCCATCTCTCCTCCATTTCTGAGCTGGGGGGGGGGGGGGGCACGTCAGGGACAGGCCCATCCTTATAGAAGGAACATTTGAGGGTTAGGTGAGAGATGGGGAGGACACTAGGCACCCCGGACGCACAGGGCCTCAGCAGTGCTGCGAGGTTCCCCCACCACAGGGCCTTTACTCCCTGCTGTGCGAAACAGCAGGGCATAAGCCTGTGTAACTCGGCTCCCAAGACAGTAAAGTCAGACCCTCCTTTGTTATTCACTGAGCGCAATCTCACCCTGAACCTCATAGCAGAAACCCCAAACTCTTCTCCTCACAGAGCTTGCCTTCTGCCGGAAGAGATGCGTAATAAAGAAAGTCACAGAAATCAGAACACTAACTGCCACTAACTGCAGGGGAATGGGGCAGACAGGCTCAGGGAGTGGCACCGAGCAGGCTGGTTCTGAGGGCAGGGCACTGAGCCACGACCTGGTGTGCGTTCTGGAAGGATTTCTCAGCTGTCAGGTAGAAGTGGACTGGATGAGAAGTAAGGTGGAAGCAGAGAGAGCAGTACTGATGGTGGAGGTGGGAGGAGAGCCGGTAACTGACCGGACATGGGGTGTGACACAGAGCTGGAGATGCCCCATGACCATGTGGTGACTGAGTGGTCGGGCAGGGTAGGGGCAGAACCAGGCTGGAGACAGGAATCCAAGGCGCCTCCTGATGATCCCTGGGGAGGTATAAGGACCCAAGGGTGTGGGGTAAGAGGCTGGATGGAGGTGGGGCCTGGTTGTGCTCTGCAGGAAATGGCCTCAGGAGCCAGGATGGGATGGGGTCCCATAAACGGCAGGGTACACAGTAGAGAAGGGACCCAGGGCTGAGTGCCACTCAGGGCCTCCCAAGGTAGAGGCCCAGAAGGAGGAAGAAGGAATCGTGCCTGTTCACAGTGAGGCTGCAGGGAACAGAAGACGGTATGGATGAGGGGCCAGCAGGTGGGGAGCCTGGGCCCTTACCTGCTGGTGGGTGAGGTGCCCCAGCTCCTTGTACCCCAGCGCCAGGACTCGGGCTCCTTCCCGGGAAATCTCCGTGTGGATGTGGTGGTAGTCAGGTGGGCACTGGGCGAACTGCAGGGAACGCAGGGGATGTCACCGACCGCCCCGCGCCCCCCTTCCCCTGGGGCCGGGACTGGCTCACCATGGAGTGCAGGGTTTCGGGGGCCCCCTTCACAGCCGCGATGTAGCAGAGATCAGTGGAGCCTAGCTTCTCATAGGAGGCGAGCACGGACATTCGCTTTAGGGCACTGGCAAAATGAAAGCGCTGGTGAATTTTCAGCCCCTGAGTTTTAATACTTCGGGGGAATACTTTCTCATCTGGAAACAAATAAGTACGAATCCTGAGGGCCTTCGCTCCACAGAGGCAGCCAAGTCCCCGCCTCCCCTTTCCACCCCTCTTCCCCCCGCCCAGACCCAGACCCTGCGGGGTGTTTGGGGGGCTCCTCGCTCCAGGAAGGGTCAGAACTGGGAGACCTGTACCCAGAGGACCTTGCCCGTGGCTTCTGGAAGGGTGGGGGCAGGCTCAACTCCCAAGGGGTGGACTGTCTCAGGTCAGAGGTGAGCCTGTGCCCACCGCCTAAGGGACCATCAGAGTTGTGGGCCTGCCTGGCCCCGAGTTGGACACATGGGTGTCTCTGAGGGGTGCAGCCCACCTGCCCAGGGGTGCAAGAGCGGGCAGTTCCTCCCAGCCGCGCCCGAAGCTCCAGCCCCTCACCTTTGGTCAGTGTCCAGTCCACGGCTGTCAGCATAGCCTTCTCGAGGGGGTCACCCACAAGGGTGCCATCATCCAGTTGCATGAGGGAGTGGCATGAGGCCAGAGCACGGTGCGTTTCTACGGGGATGCCGGACACAGGAGTGACCTCCTTCCCATCTCTGTAAGGACAGGAAACAACTAGTTATGGAGTAGAGGGACCCCAGGGAATTGCTAGCCAGGATGAGGGACGGGCCCCCACGCGGTGCCATTCATTGCAGGGGCTGAGGGAGATGCACGGTCTTGGTCCTCCTGACACCTGTGCCTATCTCACGGACGCCCCTGGATATCATATGGCTGCTTGGGGTGGGGTGGAGCCGAGCCACCACGCCGCTGTTACGCTGAGGAATGTAAGGGAGCCCCCCCACCCCGGTCAGACGACTCCAAGTGGGTGCTATCTGTCCCCTGAGCTCCCACCTGCTGGGCAAGAGGCCCAAGCCACCCACACTCACCTGAGCCCAGCCACCCCACGGACGACCAAGCTGTCGCTAGTCAGGGTCCCGGTCTTGTCAAAGCAGCACACCTCCACTTTGCCGGCGAATGGAATCCGGAAGGGCTCCGTGCAGTACATGTCTGGGAGGAGGGGAGCCAGGGTCAGGGGTCCTGCCAGGCCCCGGCCCACGCAGCACCCCTCGCCCCGTCCCAGGCACTCACACAGCTTGGCCAGGGCGATGAGGGAGGTGTTGACAGCCAGAGACAACTCAATGGGCAGCTCAGGGGGCACGACCGAGGTGAGGATCAGAGTGCATTCCAGAAACAGCTTGTAGCGGTTCCGGCTGGGGTCCTTGGTGCCTGCAGAGACAGGGCCTGCCAGCCTGGGTGCCATGGGGGTGGGGCCCAGCAGACAGGGGAGGGGCCCCAGCGCATACCTTCAATCCACACGTAGGCGGCTGCTGCAATGGCAAAGACCAGGAGGAAGAGGATGAAAATGAAAGTCTCCAGGTTGTTTGCAGTCACCCTCTTGACTCCAAAGAGGATGGTGCGCAGCAGCTTGCCCTAGAGGGCCAGAGAGTTAGAGGCCTTTCCTGGCAGGGGGTGGCCTCCCGCATCCCAGAGCATCAGGGCCAGATTCTTCCTCTGCTGATGGGGAGTGCCTGCCCTGGGTCCACCCACTGAGTCCTGCAGCCATGACACAGGGGACCACACAGCTATGTGGGTGGCTGCCACTCAGCTAAGGGCTATAGTGACCAGTGGCCAAAAATTGGGGGTCAGGGAAAGAAGTGGCTGAGATGGGGGACTGAGTCTTCTGGAAGGAGATCTGGTCAATCACCTCTACGAGGCAGCCCTCATGACACTTTAGTGAAGAGTTTATGGGTATGACTCTGTTCATGACCCCAGTGTGTATGGCAACAGCCCGTTTCCTGTCTGCGCTCCCCACCAGAACCAGAACCTCAGTGTCAGATAGTGGGCCTGGTGTGTAGGGCTCACGTCTGCACCCTGGCCCCAAGCGGGTACCTGTTGTCAGAGTAAGTCTGTGGCGGGGACGTTCTGGGGTCCGAAAGAGCCACCGTCTTAACTGTCTGCCACCCGCCCTGGGGCCTACCCTCCCCAGAGCCAGACAAGGGTCCATACCTGGGATGTGTTGAATCCGGTCCTGAGAACGTAGGCCACACATCCACTGTCGACTGCTGCAAAGACAAATGGAAGCAGCATTGTTTGTGTCTGTTCATCCCCACTCCCTCACAGCCAAGCAGATGTGTTGGCTGGGGGTGTGGGGCAGGGATTGCGGGGGCCAGGACACCCCAGACCCCCCAAGGCACCTACGCTTCAGGCCTGTGGTGGCCTTCTGCGGCGGGATGTGCTGCACCACCTTGGTGCCCCCAAAGATGACGTGGAGCCGGGAGTCGGCCTGGAGGTCCAGGACCCGGTCAGGGTTAAGGTCTTCAATGGGCTCCTGAGGAGGAAGGAGAGGGTGGTGAGGACGCTCTCACCTCAGCCTCCTTCTCTGTCCCCAGTCTCACAAGAGCAGGCCCCTGGGGCTGGGATGAGCCACTCCGACCCCCACGGGGCTCCCAGCCTAACGCAGCACGTCCGACCAGGCGGCCTGCCCTGTCTTCTCTCCACCTGCACCTGCTGTGTCGACCCCTTGTGATCTCGCAACTGGCCTCACAGAGGATTCACGCTCTCCTGGTTTCCCTCAGCCCACGTCAGTCTGATGTCTCTGGTCCCTGGCCTGGACAACCCCTGACGATCTTGGCCTCTCTTCCTTCCTTCCTTCTCATCGCCACCCAGCTCCCCTTCATCCAGGGGGAAGACCACCAGGAAATCTGGCAGCTCCAACTAGGCACCGGAGCCACTCTGCCTCCTCTAGCCTCCTAGGTCAGGGCTCCGTCCCTCCTCTGTCCGAGCCTGGGCAGGAGGGTGGCCCAGCCACCAGCCCTCTCGCTCCCCAGCGAATGGGCCAGTGACACACCTGGGTGGACTGAGTCTGCCCCCCGCCCCGCCCCCCGCACCTTCATCTGTGGCACCGACTCCCCTGTGAGCATGGCCTCGTCCACAATGCAGCGGCCCCGCAGCAGCAACACGTCACACGGCACTAGGTTCTCCTGCGGGGAGCGGCCTGCAGGAAGGGGCAGGAGTGTTGCAGAGGAGCTGAGAGAAAGGGCTCCCACCAGGACAGACCAGAAGCGTGCCTCACCGATGGAGACGATGTCTCCGGGGACAATCTCATCGCTGGCGATGGGCCTCCACTTCCGGCTACGGTAGACCTGGGCGGAGGTGAGGTGCAGTTAGCTCTGGGTCTCACAGTGGGCTCGATGCAGGTGCATCCCTAGAGCTGACCTCACCCTGCCCCCGCTCCAGGCCCACCCAAGACTGGCAGGAGCCTCCCCCCAACCCCCATCTTCCCGCTGGCCACACCTGGATCATGTGGGGCTTGTTGCCCATCTTCCGGATCTCTGACATGTTCCGCATCTGCTGCTGCACCAGGGAGGCCTCGAAGGCCACCAGCATGGAGAGTGTGAAGACGCTGTAGTACCAATACTCATCCAGACACCAGAGCCCCACGCAAAACACCTGCAGGACACAGCCTGTGTGTCCACACCCCCGCCCGGCCATCCACGGGAGCACATGAAGACACCTGTGGAGGCTGGGAAGGCACACCGAGGGCTGTTCCGCCCATGGGCTCAGACCCAGGAGGACACAGAGGGAATTTCAGGTCTGGAGATGGAGATTGCTCTAGCTGTGAAAGCCCCAGGGAGCAGGAGTGGGGTGGGGGAGGGCCCAAGCTGCTGCTTTACCTGGAACACGAAGAAGGGCGCTGTGGCTCTCTCTTTGAACAACTCCGAGAAGTCAGGCACCACCATCTCAGCCCTACGAGAGACCAGACCCCACATCCTGTTCACGATACGAGCCTCAGAGGTCCCACCCTGACACCTCCACTCAGGGCACTGCAGGCCTCCCCGGGAAATGAGAAGCCAGAAGGGACACTCCACTTGACTACGGCTCTCCTTGTCCCCGAGTCACCGGGGCAAGCAAGCTAACTGCTGCCAGCCTCCTCCGCAGCACCCAGGTAAAGCTTCTGAACCAGTGCCAGGCTGTTCAGGCAGCCACCACCCAAGCAGGGTCAGAGTGAGACACAGCCCGTCATCAGGCTGAGTAAGAAGGCAGGCAGAGAAGGAGCACCTGACTGTGGGATGGGAGCCCTGAAGCGGCACAGAAAAGGCCCGGCAGCTGGGCACTGAGGAGTTCTGGGGCCTGAGGCCCACCCCGAGCTGGAGAGGGGAGGTCTGGAGCTGAAATTTTCCGAAAACTCCCTTAATAAAAGCCCCAGAATTTGAGGAGTAGGGCCTAAGGGTGTGTTCTGTGGCACTGTGTGGGGTGGCCCAGTCTGGCCAGGGGGGCAGCCAGGTCAACTGGGGCCACCCTCACCCTGCCCTTGGAGACGTGTCCTAGATATGGGGTGTGAGAAAAAGAAACCACTGTGATAAAAACAAACAACAACAACCAGGCCCCATTCTGTATTATTCAAGTGACTTCGCATGAGCCGGGAAGGTGTGAAAAGGGACACCCCAAGCCACCACCAAGGCTGACCTCAGGCAGGGACGATAGGTAAAATTTCTTATAAATCTTCCTATTAGATTGCTACTTGTGATGATGTATCTGTAATTTTTAAAAAGTAGTTGAGTCAGGGAAGAATTCCCTAAAAGTTCTGGGGGTTTTCAGGTCCAGGACGATCATCATGGTGGCAGGGCCAGGGGCTCTGAAGATGAACAAGGGGGTCTGAAACCCTGCTCTGCCCCCTCCCAGTGGTGTGTGGGCACTGGTGGTTTCTCGGATTAAAGGGAGGAAGCATGTACAAGGCATCTGCCATCACGCCTGGTACAAAGGAGAGCTACTGTGATCGCTGACAACTCCTTTTACCACTCTTCCCAAAGTGCTGGTATGAGTCTGAGGAGAACGGTGACAACTTACACTTAAAAGAAAATTTTAAAAACAAAGAGAAATCCTACAATAATTACAAAACGATGATCAACAGTCATCTCTCTGGGGCCTCGGGCCAGGCTCCCATGAAGAGCTGTATATGCTCCTGCCGGAGGGCCCTCCAGGGTCCTTGCCAGGGGAGACAAGACTAGAGCACGTTTCTCAAAAGGTGGCCACCATCTTCATCTGGGATGTACTGTGGACCCCTCCACCCCAAGTCCCCATTTCCTAGGCACCAGGACTCAGGAGCGCGGCAGGGCAGAAAGCTGGGAAAGGAGCCCCAGGCTCGGCCAAGCACCCACGCTGTGACCACGGGCAGAGCACCAGCCCTGTCACTGCACACGGGCATGTCGGGACTCACTTGTTGCTCCCAAACTTCTTCTCAGCTGCACGGATCTCTGAGTCCTCCTGGAACCCTCTGCTGCTCTGGTAGTATGAGAAGGCATTTCCCACGGGAAAGGCCACAGGGAGGAAGCGCTTCTTCTCCAGGGCGTCGTAGGAATACTTGATCTTCTGGAATTCGAAGGACAGCACCTCCTGTCCGTCCTCACCCTGTGGGAGCAGGCGTTGTCTATGGCAGAAGGCCCGCACCTGGGGGTGTCTGTCAGTGCCTGGGAGTCCCACCCAAGCCCTGTGCCGAGCAGCCCAGCGGCTGGTCCCTACCTCGTCCCGGTGCAGGGCCACGAGCTCAGTGGAGCCATTGTTGGGGGTTGGCACCACCTTCACGAAGGTTGCTTTGCTGGGGTCGTACTCCTGCGAGAGGCAAAGTACTGCTGCTCAGCCCTTCATAACCCCCAGCTCCACAGCCCCCCCGCCCCCCCGTCCCCCGGGAAGGTTGCAAGCACAGCCGCTCCGGGCTCTGGCCTATCTACTCCCAGTCTGTCACGGAGACAAAGACACCACCTCGCCACACCTCTGGTCTCGTATCGTAAAATCGGAGTCACGGATAGCACCCCAAGCCTGGGGCCCTGCTGAAGAACGTCCCCTGCACAACCTGCATCCCTCAAAGCACATGGGCCAAGCCCTGTCACAGCCCACTGGCCTGGTGCTGCTCTGCGTCCCCTCCCTTAACTATTCATTTCGAGTCCTGAAGTGACGAGGGACAACGAGGCTCATGGCTCGTCCTTGCCTCAGCCAAGGGCCTCGGCACGAGTCGTTTTCTCTGCCTGGAACACGTGCTCACCCAGTCAGCTTCAAGCCTTTGCTCAAACGTCACCTTCCTAGGAGACCTCCCCTGGAGGAGGGTCCACGTGAAGGGCCCTCACAGTGTTCCTCTCCTCGGCCCGGGCTTTCCTCTCTTTAGCAGAGGCAGCTGAGCGCGAGCCCTACCTCTCTCACCAACACCATGAAGGCAAGGGCTTTTGTCTGTTTGGTTCACTGCTGTTTCCTCAGCACCTAAGACGTGGAGGCACTGGATGAAGCTCAGTTAGCGCGGCCTCAAGCCTGAGCCGCACCCATCTCACCCATCTGTGCCGGCCTGTGGCGTATGTGTTTGCGGGCAGAGGTGCCAAATGGCGACCCCAGAAGAAAAGCCCTGCCCCTTGGGGAGTCCATGGGCCTCTGGGCAGGCAGAAAATGATGACAAAGACTTAATGAACTCTGGTAACACCATGGGAAAAAAAGTGCGAAGTGGGGCGCTTGGGTGGCTCAGTCGTTAAGCGTCTGCCTTCGGCTCAGGTCATGATCCCAGAGTCCTGGAATCGAGCCCCACATCGGGCTCTCTGCTCAGCCGGGAGGCCTGCTTCTCCCTCTCCCACTCCCCCTGCTTGTGTTCCCTCTCTTGCTGTGTCTCTCTGTGTCAAATAAATAAATCTTAAAAAAAAAAAGTGCGAAGTGCTACACAGGGCCACGGCCATGCCAAGCACTTCAGTTTTTTGCAGTTTTTTTCTCACAGTGCACGGTGAGTGGGTGTTACGGTTCTCACTTTACACAAGGGAAAAGTGAAACAAAAAGAGAAGCACCCCTGTCTGCGATCTCTGATGCAAGCCCAGATCTGCCCATCCTCACTCTGCAGTCAGTTAGCTCCTCCTTGTTCTCCATCCCTGGAGAGGAAGTTAACACTCACGCTTTTTAGCTGGAGGCCAAAAGGCAGTTGGAAGTTTGGGGGGAGGGGGGTGTCATGCTCCCTCCATCTTCCCTGCATTTTCTGGTCCCTCATTGGAGTCTTTCATTGTACTGACCTGAAGCTACCCATTAAGTTTGAGCCCCTCCCCTGGGATAAGGCTTGTTGGGAAAACCATTCTCTCAGAAGAGAAAGAGGATTTGGTCCATGTTTAGAGTCAAAGAGAGGGGGCTTCTGTCTCTTTCTGCAGCCCTTCATGCTGTTCCCTTTCCCTCTTTTTTCAGCAACACACGCCTGGGATCAAAGGGAGGCTGGCGGTGCCCGGCTCCAAACATGCTAGTGTCATCTGAAGCAGGCTCAGAGGGCAGTGGTGCAGTTACCAACAGTAACTGCTGACCCAGGGCAGCTCTCCCTATTCAGATCGTGGGGGTTAAGGGTCAGAAGTGCTACGGGGCTGTTGTATTCCAACAGAAGTCCCCACCGTCACCACCCTCATCTTGGAGGCAGACATAAAGAGGCTCCACGCAGTTGTCACTTGCTCACAAATTGCTCCTGCTCCTCTTAAATGTTACGATCAAAGTGCATTTCAACCTAATTTTGGTCCTGGTATGCAAGGGCCTCTAAGCACTGGATAACAGAGTTCTCAAACCAAGCTTCACAGATAGAGAAACTCACCCCGCAGGTCTAGCCTCACACTCTGAAATCCAAGATAGGAGACAGAAGAGAGACCTTTCTAAGAGAAACTAGTCCTCGACAGCATGGTAGCTAGCATTAACAAGCCAAATCAAAGAGCGATTATGCCGGAGCCTACACTGAGCTTTTTATAGGTATAACCCTATCGAATCTAAATGACCACACCAGGGAGGGATTCCAAGGAAAGGAAGTAACCTGCGCCAGGGTCGCACAGCAAGTCAGTAGCGGGGCCAGGATTTAGCCACCCAGAGGGCACCGCTGGGGACTCAGGCCCAGCAAACGGGAGGCCCGGGATGGGGTGGGGACCGACACAAGCGTCGTGACTGTGACTCGCCGCTAGGCCCGACCGAGACGAGGGTCGGGCTCGTGCCCGCGCACTTACCGGGGTGCAGGTGAGCGCGCAGTGCGCGTGCACGGACCAATGCCCCGAGAGGACGGTGAGCGCGTGCGCGAGGCAGATGGTGGCGAGCACGAGCAGCGCGGCTTCAGGGATTTGCACCCAGCTGCTGCCCCAGCCCCAGCAGCCGGCGGCCGCGGCGCCCAGCCAGGCCGGATAGAGCAGTCCCGCGAACGGCAGCACCGTGAGGCGCCGCAGCAGCGCCAGCCGCCGGTATGGCCACACGGCTGCGACCAGCTCGTCACCGCTCGCTATGAGCGCTGGGCCGGCGGCGAGGAGGGTGCGCGGCTGCGGCCCGGGCTTGGGTTGCCTGCCGGGCCGGGCCCCGCAAGGCCGGGCCCCGCAAGGCACCGCGTTGCCCACCCCCGCCGCCGCAGCCGCCGCAGCCGCCGCCATCTTTCCCAGCGCCGTGCTCGCTTCCGGGCAGAGGCACCGCCTCACTTCCGACATTTTACTTCCGGTGAACTCGGGGCGCCGCCATGGCAGCCGGAGGGTAGAAAAAGCCTGACAATGGAGAAGTTGAGTTCAGAAGTTGTTACTCAGGGCGCCGCCATGACAGGCTGAGGCCGGAAGGAGAGGCAGGGCGCAGCCATGAGAGAGTCTTGAAAGGGTAAAGCTGCCTGCCCGCCCTGCCACGCCGGACTGAGACCGGAAAAGAGGAGGCGAGGCGGGCTGGGCGCCACCTTGACACCTGAACCGGAAAAGGGGAGCCCTCGTCCGGCCTACCCGGGCAGTGGCCAGTTTGGCTCATCAGGGGCGGAGCCTGGACACTGCGGAGGCGGGGCCAATTGCAGAAGCGCTGGAGTTCTGAGGGCGCGGCCTGTACAGGCCGAAGGGGCGGGGTTTGTCATGAGGGCGGGACTTGTTAGGGGCAGGGGTCCCGGGTTGGTTTCCCTGCGGGAGAGGCCCCTCCCTCGGGGTCCTGGGCAGGGCTGGCGCTGGCTGACTTAACAGAGCCAAGGCAGGACACAGACGCTGCCGAGAGGAGAGGTCATGTAATAATGATTACACACACAGAAAGTTATTATTTTAACACAAAAATATGAAAAATGGGTGTTTATTTAAAATTACATGTATTCTGTAATATTTACTTTTCTGTTACATAAATGCTATTGTTTGAACAAAACCACATTAGGAATCATTAACAGTGGCAATCGGTAGTATTTAGTAGCTACTAATAGAAAACATTGCCTGAGAAAAATGTGTAACAACACTTTTATGTTTCTTTGTCCTGATATAGCAATTTGAACTACTTTTTAAACTCTTTATCGGATGTTTATATCTTGTAGGTTAATTGTTGCATATTCTTAAGATACATAACTGTAAGACGTGGTAAAAGAAGAACATAATGCAGTAGGACTTAGTTAATATTCTATATTTAGTAAAAGTAACGATGACGTTTCTTTCTGTCCCATTCACAGTAGGATATTTTTACTCTTTAAGTTTTCTTTTTCAATAATACTTACCTGAATGGACTGCAATCTTTGTTTTATATAGTGATAAAACTAACGCAGTCCAAGGTGAGATCACTGATTTGCTTCCCTGCTCTTATCAAGCCCACGATTACTCTGATTCTTGGTGTCATTCCAGTGTGATAACATCAAGCTAAATATTGTCTTAACTAAAGCCTTTCAGCATGGATTTTACTTATTAGGTTTTTTGACTTTTATGGATTAGTTTTAAGCTCTCCAAAACAGCAGGGTTTTGTTTGTTTTTGTAGGCCAGGTATTGGTCAATCAGGTCTTTGTATATATAAATTCATCATATAGTATTATGTCCAAAACGTTCATTATTTTTGAGGGGCGCCTGGGTGGCTCAGTCGTTAAGCGTCTGCCTTCGGCTCAGGTAATGATCCCAGGGTCCTGGGATCGAGCCCCGCATCGGGCTCCCTGCTCCGCGGGAAGCCTGCTTCTCCCTCTCGCACTCCCCCTGCTTGTGTTCCCTCTCTTGCTGTGTCTCTCTCTGTCAAATAAATAAATAAAATCTTTTTTTTTTAAAGATTTTATTTATTTGAGACAGAGAGAATGAGAGACAGAGAGCATGAGAGGGAGGAGGGTCAGAGGGAGAAGCAGACTCCCTGCCGAGCAGGGAGCCCGATGCGGGGCTCGATCCCGGGACTCCAGGATCATGACCTGAGCTGAAGGCAGTCGCTTAACCAACTGAGCCACCCAGGCGCCCAATAAATAAAATCTTTAAAAAAAAAAAAAAAAGTTCATTATTTTTGAACACTCTAGAAAACATTGAATGTCATGATAAATTAAACCTCCCTTTCTCAGGGACAATTGTTTTTAAACACATAGGTAATTTGAAATTGTGAAATTGAAGTTAGATTCCAAATAGTTTATTCAGAAAGAAACTGAGAATATCCTGTTTAATTTGACTGCCCATTTCTGATGACGTTTTGAATTCTGAAGCAATCTTATTTCAAAAAAAATGAGTCTTGGGGCGCCTGAGTGGCTCAGTCGTTAGGCGTCTGCCTTCGGCTCGGGTCATGATCCCGGGGTCCTGGGATCGAGTCCCACATCGGGCTCCCTGCTCAGCCGGGAGCCTGCTTCTCCCTCTCCCACTCCCGCTGCTTGTGTTCCTTCTCTATCTCTCTCTCTGTCAAATAAATAATAAAATCTTTTTTAAAAAATGAGTCCTTTTTTTTTTTTTCTGTATGAATTTTTAGGGGCAGTTGCTTCATCCGTGTCTGGGCTCCCATGGCATCTTCAAAGATCATCAAAATGGGGCGCCTGGGTGGCTCAGTTGGTTAAGCGACTGCCTTCGGCTCAGGTCATGATCCTGGAGTCCCGGGATCGAGTCCCACCATCAGGCTCCCTGCTCAGCAGGGAGTCTGCTTCTCCCTCTGACCCTCCTCCCTCTCATACTCTCTGTCTCTCATTGTCTCTCTCGCAAATAAATAAAAAATCTTTAAAAAAAAAAAAAAAGATCATCAAAATGTTTTGGAGAAACAGCATGTAAATTTCTGCTTTACTATAATTGTTTTCTCCATTCTAATCTTCAATGCATTTCCAAATTAGAGGACTTTTTCTTTTGTCACACTTTGAAACTGTGATTTTATGGCAGGCCAACTTAAAAAAAACCAACACTTTATTAGAGCAGTTTTAGGGTCAGGCAAATTGAGAGAAGGGTACGACGATTTCCTATACATCCCCTGCCACCATACATATATAGCAGCCTGATTATCAACATCTCTCACCATTGTTACCAATAAACCCATTGCCTATAGTTCACCTTAGGGTTCACTCTTGGTATGGTACATTTTATTGGTTTGGACAAATACAGAATGAATGTATCCATCATTATAGTACAGAGTAGTTTCACTGCCCTACAAGTCCACTGTGATCTGCCTATTCATCCCTCCTCCCCTCAACTCCTGGGAACCACTGATCTTTTTAGAGTCTCCATGGTTTTGCCTTTTCCAGAATATCATATAATTGGAATCATACAGTATGTACCCTTTTCAGATTGGCTTCTTTCACTTGGTAATATGAACTTATCGTTCCTCCGTATCCTTTTATGGCTTGATATCTGATTTATTTTTAATGCTGCATAATACTCCATTATCTGGATGTACCCAGTTTATCCATTCATGTATATCTTGGTTCTTCCAAGTTTTGAACTATGAATAAAGCTGCTATAAACATCTCTGTGTAGGTTGTTTATTAATGACTACACGGTGACGTCTAATTAATTTTCAGCTTTACTGAGAAATAATTGACATGTATCACTGTGTGAATTTAAGGTGTATAATGTGATTATTTGATACATGTATATATTGCAACATGCTTAACAAAATATAGTTAGTTAACACCCCTTTACCTCACCATTTTTTACTGTTGCAGTTATGGTGAGACATTAAAGCTCTACTCTCATAGCAACTTTCAAGTATACAATATTGTTAATTATAGTCACTATGCTTGTACATTAGATTCCCAGAACTTATTCATCTTATAACTGAAAGTTTCTACTCTGACCAACATCATCTCCATTTCTCCCACCACTCAGCCACTGGCAACCATCATTCTACTCTCTCCAGTTCATGGTTTTAGATTCCACACATAAGTGAGATCATACAGTATTTGTCTTTATCTGCCTGACTTATTTCACTTAGCATAATGCCCTCAAGGTCTAAAGGTCCATCCATGTTGCCACAAAAGGCAGGATTTCCTTCTTCTTTATGACTACTATTCTAATACATACGTATCTAATACATACATACATATATATGTATGTATATGAATAATCTCACATTTTAGTTAGTTGTATATATCACATTTTCTTTATCCATTTACTTGTTGATTGACACTTAGGTTGTTTCCATGTCTTGGCTATTGTGAATAATGCTGCAATTAACATGGGTGTAGCTATTTCTTTGAGATAGTGTTTTCATTTCCTTTGGATATATACCCAGAAATGGGATTGCTGGTGGTTCTATTTTCAATTTGATTTGAGGAGCCTTCATACAGTTTTCCATAGTGGGTGTATCAATTCACATTCCCACCTACAGTGCACAAGGGTTCCATTTTCTCCACACCCTTGCCAGCATTTGTTATCTTATGTCTTTTTTATAATAGTTACTCTAACAGGTGTGAGGTGATATCTCATTGTGGTTTTGATTTGCATTTCCCTGACGATTAGTGATGTTGAACATCTGTTGGCCATCTATATATCTTCTTTGGTAAAATGTCTATTCAAGTTCTCTGCCATTTTTTAATTGGATATATTTGCTATTAAGCTGTATGAGTTTTGTTTTTTTTTTAAGATTTTATTTATTTGACAGAGAGAGAGAGAGACAGCATGAGGGGGAACACAAGTAGGGGGAGTGGGAGAGGGAGAAGCAGGCTTCCGGCTGAGCAGGGAGCCCCATGCGGGGCTCAATCCCAGGACCCTAGGACCATGACCTGAGCCGAAGGCAGTTGCCCAACCAACTGAGCCACTCAGGCGCCCCTAACCTGTATGAGTTCTTTACATATGTTGGATATTAACCTTATACACACACACACACACACACACACAGTTTGCAAATATTTCCTCCCATTCCATGGATTGCCTTTTCATTTGATTTCTTTTGTTGTACAGAACATTTTGGTTTGGTATAGTCCTTCTTGTTCGTTTTTGCTTTTGTTGATTGTGCTCTTGGTGTCATATCCAAAAAATCATGGCCAAGACCAATGTTGAGGAAATTATTTCCTATGTGTTCTTCTGGAATTTTTATGGTTTCAGGTCTTGTTAAGTCCTTAGTCCATTTTGAGTTAATTTTTGTGAGTGGTGTAAGACAGGGGTCCAACTTTATTCTTTTCCATGTGGATATCCAGTTGGTCCCAGCACCATTTATTGAAGAGACTATCCTTTCCAACTTGACTATTCTTGGCTGCCTTGACAAGCTGACTGTATATGTGGGGGTTTATTTCTGGACTCTTGTTTCTGATCCATTGGTCTATTTTTTTTTAAAAGATCTTATTTATTTGAAGTGGGGGGGCAAGGGAGAGCACGAGCAGGGGTAGGGGTAGAGGGAGAGGGAGAAGCAGACTTCCCACTGAGCAGGGAGCCCAAGGTGGGGCTCCATCCCAGAACCCTGAGACCATGACACGGGCTGAAGGCAGATGTTTAACCGACTGAACTACCCAGGCACCCCTCCATTGGTCTATTTGTTTGTTTTTATTCCAGTATCATACTGTTTTGATTACTATCATTTT